TCCAAAATGAAGTCACAGACTAGTGTGTGACTAGATTAATAGTGTTTTATTAATCTTGCAGTTGTAGCATATTTCATGAAATGTCAAGAAGTTATTAAAGGTAACAGTTAAATACAGCATCCTAATAAAACTTCAGGACTAAATTTTAAAGAATCTTTACAAATCTCATCAGAGCACATACTGTAATGCATTACATAAAATCCTTTTCAGACTAGGTAATTTAAAAGCACAAATAATTACTTTGAAGGAAGTGAAGCAATGAAGTTTAAATCACCAGATCCAGGAACACTATTGTTTCCTCAGGCAGGCTGGTACTAAAGGCTCTTAATCATCCTTACGATAACGATGTACCACAGACTGCCACAAGTAGTGACAATATAAGGATTACATCTGACATAAAATTCTGAAATGTAAAGCACAATCTCCATTTTGCCTTCCATCTTTCATTCTGAACTTGTTCTCTTTAGTATACTAAATAGAATTATTCTGCTTTAGGGAGATCCGAATTTTTTGTTTATAAAAAGAAATAGTGAAATATCTATATGCTGTAATGCTAGGCCATGGTGCACTTCATTTACTTTGTGCAGGGAAGGTATATCCATGCCAAAAGCACAATGCTAATAATCTAAGAACATTCATACTAAAGCAGTCAAGGATGGATAAAGATGCATTTTACTACTAGACAGGAGGATTTCCTCAACATTCCTTGGCTGATTTGCAAAGTCCTTCATTGAAAGTTGCACAGAAGTTGTCATTTTACCTTTAATGCAGATTCAGTCATTAAGTCAATTTTCTTTCTCTCTCTCTCTCTCTCTTTCTCTGTGTGTGTCTCTATCTCTCTCTCCCTCTCATAAATATCCTGAAAATAACCTTCAGCTTCTTTAAAACATAAAGCTTTGGTGTTTTGGAGAAACTGTAATGAGCCAATAAACCCAATTTGGAGGCTGGTTAGTACCACATAAATTAATTTCCCTGCTAAATGATCAGAGTCACATCCACCTTTTTCACTACCATCTGCCTCACAACAAAGTTGGCACTGTACTCCTTTGAGAGGTGGATTGCAAAAGTGTCATTTAGGAAAGGCTTATTAACAAAATCCCTTCTAAGTTCCAATTTTCCTGTTCCAGGGTAATGATCACAGGCAGCATATATATACCGTTAGCAGGAAACCCTCAAATGTCCATATGGCATGCACTTAAAAAAAAAAAATTAAAAAAAAAAAAAAGTAAATGGAATATGTGTATGGATCTACACAAATATTCACCTTCATTTTTAGGGATTTTCCTATGTATATGATCATGACAATTCTGCTAGTTGTTTGTACTGCCTGTGAAGGAACAGTCCCTGCCAGCTGGGGTATTTCAACAAGCACTTTGTCACACCTTTAAAAGGGCAATGGAACAAACCACTTTTCCCGAGCTTTCTCTTGATTCTGCCACTCCTCGCACCCCCCTCCCCCTAGGTGTGTGACAGACATTTGAAGTCACTCACTCGGCCTCGTTTAATTCCTCAGTTGCTGAGTACCCTGGCTCGGGCTGGAGCTGCTCCTAACCTCCTGGGACTCTGGAGCAACAGCTGCAGATAGCAGGGATAGGGCAGGCTGTGCTCGCTCTCAGAGGAAGATAATACACAGAAGGGTCCCTGAAACCTATTTAGATGTCTAGTGCTCCTACTACTCCTGTTTGAGTTTGTTATTTCCTGCCTATTTTCTTCCTCTTGACACACAAACGCTTTTCCTTCCTCTCTATGTGATGTGGAGAAGCAAGCTGGCTTTGTAGTTTGCAAAAGCCACACGATTTCTCTGAATTTACTTAGCCCTCATGTTTACCAACTGTTGTAAAGCAGGATACCATCCAAATGTTGTTCTTAAATTCTGATTAAAAATATTTTTTTTTGAATTTTCTACTTGTTGTGGGTAAATGTACATGGAGGCTAAGATTTTCTTTATATTGAGAAGCCTGCAGTGAAGACAAGGAAGTTCTAAATTTAGACAGGGTCTTTGATTTTGTTTTTCCACTTAGGGAAAAAATGCGGTGACAAGATTGATTCATTGGACAGTGGGGTAATATGTTTTTCCATATGAAGGAAGAGAGGAAGAAGTTGAATGCTCAAGTTAAAATATATACATATGTGTTTTGCTTTTATGTAGCAGAGTCAAAATTAAACAGTCCCACCAAATGGAATTTTATTAGTGTCATTTATTTTGCAATGAATTTTACTGGCCCTTCCTGGGCCGAGGTGTCACTGGGCCATGAGATTTCAGACAGGGGACCAGTACCAATGTGACATACAAGCAATTGTGTTATGTTGTTCTCTTTCACTACAACATGCTATTGTTCACTACAGCATGCTGTTGTTCTACAATATACACCACAGAGAGTAGCTTTGGCTTATTTTCAGAAATAAAATGTATTATTTTCTCCAAATTCTTAAAATCTCCATTTTCCCCCTCTTAAAACTAGCCCTAAATACTGAAGTAGTAATAGGAATTACTTGTGTTTCAATATTCTCTTCTTTCTAAATAACTGGAAAAGACATCATTGGGACAGTTTCTATAATTTTTTATCTTATTAAGTATAATTAGATTCTTTAGTATTATTTTTCTCTCTTAATACTTATTTAATCTGTTTTGGTTTTGTAGATGTTGTAGGGAGGACTAGGTTTTAAGAAATTATTTTCAATAAATCTACTTAGGAAATTCTTCAGACAGTTTGAGCAATAAAACCAGTAGCAGTAACCACGAGTCAAATTTCACTTCAAAGAAGCTTTTGAAACCATACTGGGGATTTCTGATCTGTTTTCTGTCCTCAAAATTGAATCCAAATGACTTGAATGTAAATTAAAAATAGCAAACTATGTGACTGTAGAGTTCAAAACCTACACCACAGAATTACTAACAGTCTTTCTTTCAGATCTATTGTCTTCTTAAATTTAGAAAGAATTGAAAGCTTCCTTCTTCTCCACTAAAAATTAGCACTACACTAGAACATCTAGAAAACTTACTATATGAAATCCTTAATTCACTTTTCTCAAGGTCATTATCATCTCAAAATGATACTAGAAACTCCAGAGTACATGCATGTTGCATGACAACACCAATACTAGGTAATAACAAAAAACAACCTGTCTTCATGTCTCAGGTACAGTAGACTGAAGAGGCAGAAGCTTCTGTTTGCTCCTGTCAGTAGCTCAGGAGGTTCTTCTCTATTTCATCGTTCTGGAGGTCAGTGCAGGTTTTCCTTTCAGTATGGGAGAACATTCTTGTTCTTTCCCTGTTCTTTGACTGCAGCCTGCCTCTCAGATCCTGAAAACATGCATATGCCTATTTTGAGCAAGAGTGGTTGCTCAAAAATCATCACTGGCACTATCAGCTAAACTGTGCTCTGGGACTGGGGTGAGCACCTTAAAGTCTCTTCAGTTTGGATAAGTCTGAGAACTGGCAAATTAATTCCAAATAATTTCTATGTGAATGAGGTTTAACTGAAATCTCTGGACTCCCCACAGCTAGTTTCTGTTTCTCCACCTGAATTACAGAGTCTTCCAACTCCAAAAAAAAAAGGAAATTTCTGGGGAAGAAAATTCTGGGTAGATTTCTGCCCAAACACATGAAAAATGTGAAAAGTGCTTTCAAGTAACAAAAGGTAGCTTCCTTACAGCAGGAAGCATAGCCGGCCTATCCCTTCATTGCAGCCTCTTTGTTAGCTGCTGGGTGGTTCAGAGAGCTCCTCGCTAGCTGGCAGCAGTCTAGCTGCGTTGCACAAAGCTGCTGAGCCAGATTCCTTCCCCTAGGAAACAGGGCACATTGCATTTCTTAAGAAAGTTTAAACATACGTTTTCCTGGGGTTTGTGGTTGAGTTTGAGTACAGGAAGCATTCTAGCAATGCTTCAAAATTACTGATTGCCTTTTCTTATTTCCATCCTCAACATCCTACAAATACAGCCTATGTTTCATTTCTGTTTTACAGGTTCAGAGCCATTCCACTGCCAGCTAAAAACACAGGATTTGTTTACACTGGTCCTTAAAACACCAATCGGTGTACCTGAAATCTCAGTTTGTCATGAGAACATTAATCTGGTCAATTTTCCACCATGTATATGATCACGAAAAGCAGAATTCTACTAGTCCTTCATGCAAATAAGATTATGTGCACAAGGCACAGTGTTAGTATTATCACTGGAGGCATACTGTGCATTCATATGCGGCTATTTTAATGTGTTTCTGGTGTATCAAACGTTTTTATAGACATGGTTGTTGATTTTAAAACAAAGCCATTTTTGTTAGCTTGCTAAAAAATAAACCTAAAGCTTGGAAACATAGCTACCATTTCTGTGTACATATTTTTGGCACAAATACAATTTTTTTAGGGTACATTACTTGCTATTCTACAGATGAAAATGAGCCTGGTCACTGTGTTTTTTCAGCTGACTGGATGCAAATCTTTGAAGATGCAGAAGCTACATAACAATATCTAAGATGACATTGTGCTTGAGGTAGCAAGTCCTGCTCAAGCACAGCAACATACTATTTGGAAAGCTTGCAAGATTTATTAACCTGACCACAGCACCATGTAAAATGTGGCTCTGACATTTCTTATTTTGTTCTGAGCATATCCAGACATAAGACTCCCTGGATAGCTACATTTTGAAATCCAACTGTGAATACACAATGCTCAGCTAGGAGGAAGGCGTAAGCAAGCCAACTACAGGTCAAGTTGTTGCCTGATCAGTTTCTACAGTCAACTGACTTCAGCAAAAGGAGCAGCAGGACGAAGCTGCAGAACCTGAACCCGTGCCCTCCTTCTGGAGCACAGTGAAATGCTGCAGTGACCGCTACCAAGAAGTACATTCCAAAGATGTACTTTGGAACTCTTTAGATGCTCATCTTGAATAAGCCAAAATATAAGGTAGATGTGTATAAATCTCATTTTTGGAAGTAATCATTCCCAGAATAATAAAAAGTTGGGTTTTTTATATATAGAATTAATTCTCCTTTTTACAAATTTTACAATTAGAAACCAGTTTATTTCAGAACAGATACTAGAAGAGCATACTTCTAAATCTGAGAAAACTCAAAATGAAAAGGGAAGACAGAAGAGAATTTGAGGGTCTTCCAGTCCCAAGTATCATAGCAGAGCCAGCCTTCACATTCAATCTTGCTTTCCAACTAACAACTCAGTGACTTCCCAAGTGGCCGCCCTGCCATCTCTCAAACCTTAGGGGAGGGTGATTTTTTTCCTTCTCTCCTGTTTTGGCTGTGATTTTGATGGTGCTCTCCTCAGGAGTCACCCACCCATGTTTGCTGTGCTGTTTCCTTGCTGGATCTTCCATTTCCCTTCTGTCTGCTCTGTCCTTCAGTTGTGAATCTTCCCTCCTCGGATCATGCCCAGGAGCTCCTGGGGAAGACGGCATCTCCAGGAGGCAGAGGAGGACCCAGGGTGCTGTAGCGAGGATGAGGCAAAAAGACTTCCTTTCCACTGACCTGCCACACACTTTTGAAAGACATTAACCGATAAACTTCATACTCCCCTTATATCCTAAAAATCCCCCAAAATCTTATCATAATGCACCTTTAAAACTAAAACTAATTAAATAAAAGAAGACATCTAAGACATAGAATTACACCAAAGCCTAATGTAGCTGAGCAAATCTGCCATGACAGTACATACAGGTACACCGGAGAGATTCCTTCTCAGCTGGAGCACAGAAAAAAGGGAACGAATAGGCAAACAGAGAAGGCAAAAGATAACTCCTTCTCAAGCATCTTTATAGTCCTCTTTCCCCCACACATGTGCACTCTAAAGCAGTGTTTCCTGGGCTGTGCTCATGTCAGGCTCTGCAGGTCTTGAAGCTCGCATGTCTGTGGGTCTCATGCAAGATACCAAGTCCCTGGTGCACGGAGCGTTTCATACGTGCCACATTCAGCATTTCAATGGTGCCTAATCAGCATTTTGACATGTTAGTACCCTGCTGAGTGCTCTGTTCATACAGTCTGGAGCAAGTACTGGGTCATACCATCAGGGCAAGTCATCTCCCCTGAGCCCTACTGCTCTTGGCCTCAGTCCAAGGCAAAAAAAAACAACTGTTAAAACCTTCAAACCTATTGGAAACCAGGAAACCAGCTCAGCTTTACCAGGTGTAAGGACACAGTCTTAAGAGCTAACAACAATATTCCATGAATAGAAGAGAGCTCACCTGTTAAACAGCTGTGTTTGAGAAAACTTCTTGGTTAACTGTGTGACTAGGGACCATGTATGAGAAGAGACTGAGGTCCTGCTTTGCACATCCAGGTGCATTTTCTCCACCTGTACTCTGACCAAACCAAATCCATCCAGTACTGAAAATCACAAACCTGCAGGTATCCACACACACATACCTGCCTGGCTTCAGGTCCAAGTCTGCTGTGGGTTCAGCTGCCTTCTGGTACCAACTGAGCACAAACACCACTGACTGCTCCCTGTCAGTCACACCTGAAAAGAATTTGGTTTGTTTAATATAGACTAACAAAGGCCGAGAGAACATTTATCTTCTAAATATATAAACTATGTAAACTCTAGGGACAAACATCTGTTCAAGTTTAAAATTAACTTCTGATTGGAGACAGGCATAGACTGGGCTTAGATAAACTTGGGTATGAACAGGTGAACTGTGAGGGTCTGAACCAGCCTTTTGATGGGAATTGCAGGCAGTTGTGGAGGGGAAGGCAGGAGAGCAGAAGAGGAGGACAAAGCTGTATTAATGCTGTTCATGGACCGTAGTTAAGGGTGAATCAAGAACTGTTAAAGAAAAAAAAGCTGAACAACCCAAACCAACCATAAAACCAAGAAGAGAGTAAAAAGATGGTAATAGCAAAGCCAATAGAACGCCAGACTATAAGCCATTTACATTCTGCCTGCTGTAATCAATAGATATGTTTTGCTGGGATTGGAAGGCTGAAGTCAGAGTGACAAAAAAAAGGTGAATGTAAAAACATCTGTCTGCGTAAGAGTGTGAAGTACCAATAACTGTTCAGGGAACAAGTTACTCAGATGCTGCTGCCACTCTGATGCTGCTGCCACTCAGGAAAAAATGAAGCTTATTTGCCTAAGATGTAAAGATGTTGTTTTCTGTGTACACACAACGGTACCAACTATTTCACTATTCTAAAATACTTCTTTTCTTTGGTTACTCAGGGCTTCATTGCCTTGAAAAGTTACAGTAGTTAGTTTGCAAATACTCCATTTGTGGGGTTTTTTTTGTTTGGTTTCGATTGGGTTGAGTGGAGGTTTTTTTGGTGGTTTGTTTTTGTTTTTAGGTGAAAGCTTGAATTTTATTGTGTGAGGGAAAGAAATCAGAGTGAAGGCAACAGCACAGCTACTCTGACAGTCTTGTTCTCCTTTTTAGTTTTGGGGAGCAGTCAGGATGATCATCATCTCTCCCCCAAAGACATAGGACACACACAGAGAAAGAAATTCAGTGGGGATAAAGGTGGGGAAGGGATTCACTTGGATTAGGGGTTTACTTGTTTTGGACTTATTTTTGCTGGGAGTGAGTTCTGGGATTTGCTGTTTGAGTTTTTCTTCATTTGTTTGTCTTCTTGATGGAACTCCAGCTAGGGAGTGGCAGCCTTTCCCGTTGCTCACTGGCACCCAGCTGCTCTTTCTGCAATCTATCATTGTGCTGCTGCTTTACAGAGAAACACTGTCTAAACTGACAAGACGATTAGACCATCAACAATTGTTTTGAAGAGCCTGTGGAAGCTTGTAAGTGGGTGGAGGAACTTGGTATGGGCACATGGATCATTTTATGGCAGATACCACACTTTTTGAAGGAGCCTTAAGATACATAATGACGTCACAGGACTAGCACAGTGACAAACCTGTCAAGAATTTGGGAAAAGTATGTGAGATGCTTCTCAGTTTAGACTGAGAAATGTGACGTTTGAGAGTGCAGGTGGGATCTGTCTGAAAAAACAAAGAGGGAGAGCTGGAAATAGGGTGAAAAAATGCCAACAAACATAAAGAAATTCTTTGTCTTTCACCAAATTGTTCGACAGTTTGTAATATGTCTATGAATGATGAAGTGCTTGGAAAGATGTTGCTGACCTCTTTCAAGTCCCTCAAAAAAGGAGTGAAGGAGTTACCTCTGTAGGTTCTGAAGGCCTTCAGAGCATTGAAATAATCCACCTTTAGCAGGGATAGAGATCCTCAGTGAAGTACACTCTATTTGGCCCTTCTGTGCTGGAAAGAGGAACACTCAGTCAGTCCTGCTGACTTCTGCAGTTAAGCTGGTGCTTATAGATGGTAGTGTTATCTTTTTCCTGAAATATATTGCCATTATGTATGCCTGTGATAAAAAATATTATCCTTGACTGGTTAAGTGGTTCTCTCTGATTCTCCGTATAGATCTATTCTGCCATTAAACAACCAGGTACTGAAGGTGTGGTGCTTAGATATTAGAGTGGTAGGGAACTTAAACATCTAGAAAGATCCACGATAAATGATACACTCTGCAGATAAACCTCTGCCAAATTCTATTCAAACAGCAAAGGGATAATGTGAATATGACTCTAATGAAGGAAGGCTAGAGTTGCCATAATGCATGCAGGTGCAATTGCTCCAAATCACTCTTAAAATCTATTTTCCTGCCAGTGCTCATTCTTCCTTTAAACAGAAGTTAATACTCTGCTGACATTACTGAACTCCATCATGCTCATTATCTCAGGCTAGCATTTAGATCAGGTTTTTGGAGGTGAAAGACCAATTCATTAACTCTATTGTGTCACTCAATGACTTCCTGTGGAGAGATCATAAGTCAGATGGGGGGTGTCACTGCTGGAAGATAAAAGACAGCTATAAATTAGGAAGACAACTGGTATAATTCGCAAAAATGAGGAAAAAATTACTCTATAGGCTTTAATTTCTATTCATAGTTCAGGTTTTAAGTATGTTATTTAGACAACAGTGCATTTGAGGGATTTTTTTTTATGAATTTCAGACAGGGAATGGAAGAGGTTATTGGTTGGTTATTTGTTGTTGATCTAAAGGGGAAAATTAGTATAGGTAACAAATAACACAGTCATTCCTGCAAAAAATGAATAAAAATTGGGTGCTCCAAAGCCAGATGTGTTAAAATGCCCACATATACTAATTTGTCTTGGCTTAAAGAGGAAAAATAAGAATGTTTGGAAAATTTTTACTTTGTCAAAAGGAGAATTTTATGAAGCTGCTTGAATTGTTAAAGAAAAAAACATCTGCCAGGAATCAAAATCCACCTATTTGATTAAAACAAAATTCCCCATTTTTTCCAGGAGGTAGAGAAAACGTTTATTCTTAGAATACTCTTCAAAGTATTCTAAAAGAATTCTTTTCCCTGAAAGGAAGAAAAATTCTCTCTGAAAGAATTTTTTAGGACTTTTAAATAGAAAGTGGGTTCCTACTGTTACTGGTTATGACTGAACATGAAGTTTCTCAGTTTGCACATAGGAAATAAACAAGCAAAAAATATTTTTTTTTGCTGGTAATTGAGTTTTTCTAAGAAATTTTTCAAATACGGGTCTTTGCAAGTGTAATGGACAATTTCTTAAGAAGCAGTGTCAAATAAGGAATGCCTCTGCCAGAGAGCTTGGTAGCTTCCTGTTGCTCAATGAAACTATGGGACATCACGGAATCATAGAATGGTTTGGATTCGATCGGACCCTAAAGATTATCTAGATACAACCCCCTTGACAGGGGCAGGGATACCTCCCATTAGACCAGGTTGCTCAAAGCCCTGTCCAGCCTGGCCTTGAACACCTCCAGGGATGGGGTATCCACAACTTCTATGGGCAACTTGTTCCAGTGCCTCACCACCCTCACAGTAAAGAATTTATTTCTGATATCTATCTATATATCCATATTCCTACTCAGTGCCATTATCCCTTGTCCTGTCACTTCATACCCTTGTAAAAGTCCTTCTTCAGCTCTCTTTAGGTATTGGAAGTCTCCCTGGAGCCTTCTCCAAGCTGAACAACCCCAGCTCTCTCAGCCTTTCCTCACGGGAGATCGGTTGCGCGACTCTATCCTCCCTAAACCGCAAAAAAGCATCGCGAGGCGAGCGGACGGAGGACTCGGGGTGGCCGGGACGGGCCGGGCCGGGCCGCGACTTTCCCCAGTATGAAATAGGAGCGGGGCAGAGCGGCAGGGCCGGCGCCTGCAGTAGCCACCTTTGGCCAGCAGAGGGAGTGCCGCGCCGGCCACGGCGGCTGCTCGGCGGGTTGTGGCTGGGCGGAGCTGGCTGAATCTCCTGCTTACCGAAGAGTAGGAAAAGAGTTCCTTGGAGAACAATGCCAATATGAAAACATCTAAACATATTGTAGCATGTTTTTTGTACTTTGGTACCTTTAGGTAAGCTCCCTTCTTCAGTTGATGGCACGGGGATTTTTTCCAGCAGGTAACACTGCCCGAGGGCGGGGGAGTAGACAGGAAACCAGCAGCTGTTTATCAGTCCCAGCACAAAAAGCAACAGCACCACTTAAAACTTTCGAGATCTTGAGCTATCAAAAAAAAACCCCTACGACTTGGAAAGCCTGACATCTTCTTCAGTTTCAGATCTATTCACAGAATCACAGCATCACAGACCTGGTCAGGCTGGAAGAGACCACAAGGGTCATCTGGTCCAACCTCCCTGCTTAAGCAGGGTCATCATGGCACAAGATTGCATCCACACGGTTCTTGAATATCTCCAGTGCCGGAATCTCCACAACCTCTCTGGACAATCTGTTCCAGTGCTCAGTCACCCACACAGTAACGAAGTTCTTCCTCATATTCAGGTGGAACTTCCTGTGCATCAGTTTCTGCCCATTACCTCTTGTCTTTATTGATTGCCACCACCAAGAAGAGTGTGACTCCATCCTCTTGTCACCCCCCATTCAGATACAGTGATGAGGGTTAACCTTCTTCACAGACTTCACAGAATACTCTGATTATTCTATATTCTGAAGGGACTCACAAGGATCATCGAATCCAACTAGCACCATGCTCTAACCAACCGAGCTAATCTCTTATCCCAATAAATCTTGGGTTTTTTCCCCTCTTTGTTCCTTCATATTCATTAATGATAAAAATTAGTGCATTTTTCAAGCTACAGATGAAAGAAGTAAGTTTTCCTTTCTCCTAGCTGGTTTGGAAACAGCTACCTTCCCTTCCTCACTCTGCCCTTACTTCAGCTGACTCTCTTTAATGCTAAACTATTCCTACCTTAGGTGAGAATCCCCTTCTCAGCTCCTTTCAAGATGAAAAGCACAACTGAAAGGAAACACAGAAAAATGCTAAAGTGGTATCAATATCAATCTTCCTATTATTAGTACAGTTATTTATTGATAAATTTAGTTCATCCTACTGTGTTATATGAGAGCATCTTTTGTTCTATTTTTCATCTGGATTGAGGCACTCTTCACAAAAACCCTCAATACGTCTCATCCATGTTATTTCTTCTGTCCCCACTCCCCACATCGTGCAATTGCACTCACTTGCAATATTTTCTGCTATTAACAGACTGGTTGAATTTTTTTGCATCAGGTAGCAGCTCTGTAGTTGGAGACCTAAGAATCACTTGATATAAAGATCACTGAGATCATAAACCATTTTCTTCATGACCTTTTCTACCAAAACATTAGCTTCTGAGTCAGCCTGCTTTGAAGCACAGAAGCACTACATATTGTCTTGTTGGCTTCTGACTTCAAGCAATTCTTTTCTTCCATTTCCTCCTATTTTTAGCATCTGAAGGCTGAAATTTTACAATATGCTATTGCTCTTTTATTTTTTTTCCCCAGGAACAAATGTCAGCACATCAAAAGCTCGCTGCTTTTACTGTGTGTCACTTGAGATCACTGGGGAAAAAAATACTTCGTAAATCTCCTTATTGAATCATTAACCATGGGCACTACTATGAATAGGTTTCACAAAAGTTCTGGTATCAGTCATTTGAGCATCACTTCACTGCTAAGTAAAATCCATAAAAGCTCTCAGCACTGAACAGGGTGACTAAAAATAAACATTATCACAAAGGTGAATGGGTATGCAATCAAAATATTTCTCTTGTATGTAGCTTTTGTATGTGTTTTGATATATACCTTATATATCTTTTTATCGTTTGTAATGAAAATAACTGTACACACTCACATACACATATACTTGCATTGCTTATCTTCTCTCTCTCTGTTTAGATGCCAGCCTTAAGTCTTCCAGACCTGAAACGCTTTCTGCAGCAATCCAATCCTCTCAGACAACCATACAGTAGTTGTTAGGAAAACAACTTTCGATTTCTAGGAAAATGGTTCATACCATCTTTGTGATATTGGGTTAGCAAGAAGAGGGGGATGTGGGGTCACTGCTGACATATTTGGCAGATACAAAGGCCACAGTAGCTCCCCTGCTGCATTGGGTGCTGTCACAGAAATTCACCTTCAATGTATGCAGCTATGTCATGAGCATGTGGCTGTGGACAGGGTCAGTCTCCTCATAGCATATACAGCTACAACTCCTATACAGCCTGCAACATAAAGGATATATTAAAGAGTTAGAAAGACTCTTACTTTCTCATGATAATCAACCTTTCCTGCGACCTGGCCAGAGGTGTTCGCTGAGGTGTCCTATTTAATGCACCTCTGGGAAGGGTGTGATAAACAGACAGACTTCAACAGATTTGGCAGGAACAGCCAGTACATGTTTTCCAGAACTTTGTTCAGTTTGCCATTCAAGTTTGTGTCTAATGCAATAGGGAAATCAAATATATTAAACATTTAAAACAGGGCTGCTAAATTGCCACCTAGTGGTCTTGTAATGAAGCTAATGTCTCCAGCATACTTATCTGGGAGAAAAAATATCAGTGTGAGTTATGTATTTTTGTCAAGGTGTTTACTGATGCCATGCACATAGCATGGTTGGAGTGGAAGGGTGGCAGGGCACAACTTCTGAGCCAATAAAAGACAGGACCATTGGAGCTGCTGGGGTACCCGGGGATGCTTGTGCAGGACTTAGACACTAAAAGAGAATTTCTGAGCCAGTCAGCCAGCCTGTGCATGGGGTGAAAAACGTTGCCAAGTAGAAGCCTTAGTTTGTTACTACTTCTTAATCTTTCTTTTTAACAAAAAAACCCCAAACAAACAAACAAACAAACAAGGTAAATAATTTGATATAAAAGAAAATAAAAAGTTTTCTGTTTGTTGGTAAATGATTTTTATCTTTCTGAGGCTCAACCAGAGAGCTGGTTGTGGCCTTTCAGTAACTGAAGGGGGACTGCAAGAAAACTGGAGAGGGACTTTTTACAAGGGCATGGAGTGACAGAACAAGAGGCATTGGCTTTAAACTGAAAGATGGCAGGTTTAGATTCGATATTAGGAAGAAATTCTTTACTGTGAGGGTGGTGAGACACTGGAACACGTTGCCCAGAGAAGTTGTGGATGTCCCATCCTTGCAAGTTGGTTGGATGGGGCTCTGAGCTACCTGGTCCAGTGGCAGGTGTCCCTTCCCATGGCAGGGCGATTGGAAATAGATGATCTTAAGTCCCTTCCATCCCAGGCCATTCTATGATTCTATGATGATTGCAGTGTAGGAAGCACTTTGCTCTGCTGGGATATTCTCCCACCTTTTCGTCTCACTCTGGCTGAGCCATATGTTCAGCAGCATGTGCTGTGTACACAGAGCCAAGCAGATGAGAAACAATGAAGAAGCACGTGTGGAACAGTAAAGTTTGCAGTTGTGCTTTTGTGATTAGTCATGTGGGTCTGCCCAGAAGCTAGTACAAGAGACTAAAAATAACTTTCCATATGATGAACTGCAATAGCAAAGTCTCTGGGGATTAATGCATCCTCTATCATTTTACCAATAATCAGCCTTGGATGCACTGGATGGTGTGTTGACAAAGCTGATGCTCACAGAGGTGGAGGCGGTAGAGGCTTCCTGTTAGGAAGCAGTCCTGGAGTGGGGGCTGCAGGCTACATCTCTGGGAGGACACATCAGTTGTTTCAGAGATAAGTCAGAGATAATTAAGTCCATGGCAGCAGAATCCAAATGATTCATCTTCCTCCTCCATCCTGTCACCTGCTGGGACCTAGTGCAGTTAGTGAAGAAGAAACATCAGTCCTGGAAGACAGACTGAGAACCTTTATTGCATGTTTATTGAGGTCCTAGGTAGTGTAAGGTGTCACATGAGTATAGCATTGGTCCCAGGATGCTGCATAAACTGAAAGCTTAACCCTGCCCAAAAAAGACATCCCCTTGCAGACTGCTGTATCCTTGATTAAGGTATTGGCACTTCTTGTGCCTCTTCTCCCCTTGAGATGAACTGAACGCCCTGTAAGCAAAGGTCATTGCTTCTCACAGAATATGAGATGAGACAGGTCAGGAAAGATGAAGAGAAAAAAAACCCCAGGACTAGGGCAAGGGATATCACTTGGGTAGCAATAAAATTCAATTGTTGATATGAATATTGTCTTCCTACACTTCAGATTTTGTGACTAAAGTACAACTCACCATATAGAGCACCACATATAGTTCTGTTTTTCCTTTCATATCACTTTTGGCCTGGTTGACTTTAATCTGTTTTAAGATACAATCTGACTTTTATTTGTGGGCATTTTTCCCATCTTTTTTTTTTTCTGTTTTGCATTCACCTGTTATTCTCTTAATGTTTCACCTTGTACTTTGTTCTTGTTCAAGACTGATTCAGTGAAATTTGTACCTTGATTCTCTTTGTTTCAGACTTCAGATTCACAATGTTTTGTTTTAAACAAGTATCTATTGTTTCACTAGTGTCTGACCTCACTCCATTAACTTAATCATATTTTATTCAATGAAGTTCTCTGTAGAGTGAATAGCTATCTAAACTGATTAACTTTTTTTTCTTTTTTTGTAAGACCACCGCTTCCCTTCTTTTAGTTGTTATGGGAGCACAATAATAGAGGAAGCTACACATTCCACAAACTGATGTGCCACTACTCCAAAGTACCTAGTATAATAAAAAGGCATTCAACAGAAAGTCAGATTACTCCTTAATGTACTCTAGGTGATTTGATCTTTAAGGAGTATTCAATAAAGTGGGAAAGGTAATCAATACAATACTGTCTGAGAAATTGCAGGTTTAACTGCGTACCTATTGTCAATAAAATTATCCAAGGATAGAATGCCCTATAAATGCAACCAACTTTTTCAAAAAATAAATATCCTGTTCCAAACCTGAGAACTGGTAAGCCACAACAAAGATTTTAGATGGCAATTACTCATTTGAACTTTAATGTGTGCCATGAGCTTCCGTTTCCCCAGCCTCTCCCGAGTTAGTCTCTTCAGGGTTTATTAGGATTGGCTTTGACTAAGGGATTTACCATAAAGTCAATCTGTCACTATTCTGCTATCCCAGTAGCCTCCTGAGTTCTCATATTCTGTTCAAATTGCCATGCCAAATGGCATCAACATAGTTCTGGAAGACATTTCATTTCTGGGGCCTCATGCCTGCCATAGGTAATACTGAATGCCTTCAAATACATCTCTTGACAACTTTTGCTGCTCTTTCCAGGTAAGAAGTTCTAGATCCTTCTGTCTTCATCCACACAAATAGCCACAGTAAATGGCTTCGAGCATGTTAGATGGGTCATTCAGTACATTTTTACTTGATGTTTCTATATACATTTACAAAACCACCAAATGCTTCCAGTAGGAAGAAAGCATTGCCCAGTGTTACTGTGCCAGCATCAAGTAAAATAACTATTCAGCTGCCACACAAAGAGAACATGTAGCAGGGAGAACTTACTTGCATTGGCTTCGAAATAGTATCCTATTTCAGTCTTGTCTTTGTCTTATAGGGCTATGCAGTCTTTACTCAGTTCAGAGCAGTCAGACTGAACTTATGCCCCTCCTAAAAAACCAAACTGGTTGTCATACCTGAAGATGTGCTGTGAGGCAAAGTATCTACACTAACTGTTACGGCAGAAAGCTACCTTAAGACTTTTAAAAATTGAAGTACAGTCAGGCACTTAAAAATGGACCATAGCTTTCTTGGCCAGTTGGAATATCACAGCTTAACTGCCAAAACAGGGCTTTCACAGGAATTTCTTTGAGAAATCTTAAAGATATGAGCGGGGTACTCACAGTAAAAGAACAGTTGTGATCCAAAATAAGATTGTTTTCTGAATATATAGGATGGTTCTCAGTCAAAGGGATGGGAAAGTTGAAGTAACCAGAATACTGTACGTTTTTAAAATAATTTTCAATAAAAATTTGTGTGGGTGAAACTAGATTGACCTTTTATAAGCAAGAGTTATTTTTATTTATTCATTGTTTATTTTCACTATGCGTGTGTGTGTCTCTCACCTCCAGGAATAAAAACACTGAAGTCAATTCCCTTCTGCCTTTCTTTATATGGAGCTGGTATTTATAATGAGCCTCCAGTCAGCTCTGTCATGTTAAAAAGAACTTTCTGAATTATTGTTCGCCTGATTTCACAATCAGCCCTTTGCAACCCACAACACTGTCACTAACAATCTAACCAAAGGCAAAAATTTCTTTAATGTCTAGATCAGTTTATGTTGAATAATCTCAACACCTTTCAGCAGCAGCAGTATTTAAATACAGCTGGAGTGCAACAAAACAGAACGTCTGAATTTTCAAAAAAGTTTCATGCATCCACTCTTCTTTCTCCTCTGCTGGAATCCTGTACGTTATAAATGATGTGGGCTCTTTTTCTTTTCTTTTTATGTCTTGCTAATATTTGGTGTCTTGCCTTGGGTGTAAAGGTTAAAAACTTTTAAGATTGATGGTCTCTGACATAGGAAAGTGACTTCTCTGTTTGAAAGACATATTTAACAATTCTATATTTAACAATTTAGGTCAAAAAAAAAATATCCATTTATCTAGCATCTATCTGCTGTCCTTTTGATAGATAGAGCATAAAACCATTGTTACATTACATGAATAAAATGGCCAGAGATGGTGCTTTTACTTGCAGCTTGAAGTCCATTTCCAGTTACCACTTCACATATATTTTACTTTAGTTTTTTTAATTAATAATTCTACCTAATACTTTTTCAAAGAAAGACAGTATCAGGCAGATAGGACTGGGGGAGGGAGGGAGAGCAGGGTAGAGGGAGAGATTGCCTATGTCAATTCTCTATTCGTCATCTTTTCAATCACCTTTTCATCCCCTGTTCTAAAAAAATGACAATCTTCACAAAACACTATCTGATCCTCTTTGTGCAATGATACACAGGACTAAATCATGAAAAAGACATGTATTTTATTTCTAGTCCTATGACAGAGCAATTCAGAGTACAATCTGACTTAAACTCTGCTTCAGCACTGGCAGGATTTTTTCCTATTCCAAGGGAGTACAGCTCGCTCACGACAGGGCTGCAAGAGCTTTATCCTCTTTGAAGCAGCTCTGAGTAAAGCCTCAACGGCTTGCCAAAAGAATTATCAAAACCGTAGATCGCAAGAAAAGCTTTGTGACTGAGCTATCTGAGGGAAAGAAAGGAAGAACACCCAACCGTTAATTCCGATTTTTCCAGTACTTTAACTTGCCATAAAGCTCGTGAACCACCAGAGGGCATTACATGCCTCAAAAAATGCAGATTGGTAAACAATTTGAAAGCAAGGGGAAATTCTTCTAGCCTTCTTAGGATATTGGACATTTCATATTACTAATCAAAAGCTTAATACAAACAGAACTATTCCAAGCACAGTGTCTATCGGGTATTTCTCAACTGCTCTTTCATTCCAGTAGCTCCTTTACTGGGAAAATAGTTCTCACTTGTAAACAAAGAGTGAAAATAAATTATGAAGACATATTTTCCCTTCTCGACAGCTGAATCTGAGGAAAAACTAAGAGCGTGTTGATTTTTCACCTATTAACTGCATAGTTTTAGGTTTCATTTGTCCTATTCCTTAGCTAACACACTGCAGACTTTTTCTACTTAGTGAGCCATGTGTTTATGGGGATTTTGCTTTCCTAGCATTAAGTAATACTGAAGTCCATCAGCTGAGGGGCCAGTCTTTTGCATATCATTACTTACAGAAATATGGCACAGCTGAGAGTACATTTGTCCTTTAAAAATTATATTAGAAAAAATATGCTTTCATTTTTGCAAGTCTGCAATCTTGTCTAAGGATTCTGAACACTTCTTTTCATGTCAAAGAGCTTAACATATAGACAGTCTCTAAATTTATACCTATGAATTGTAATTTTCTATAAATCAAGAAAAATTAACCGTGTCACTTCATCATCACGGCTAGGCTTCGCGAACAAAGATTTGGGAAAGGTTCTATCCACATTTGTTACAAGCACGCTGGTGGCTAATGAGGCCAATATGAGATAGACATGTCCAATTGCAAAAGGCACAGCAGAAAGACTCCTTAGGTGGTATATTCTGTGTCACTTAAACTGAAAGAAAATAACCAGGGAAAAGACGAAGAAAACAGCATTTCTCATAATTCTGTGCACTTCTGTGCAGCTTTGCATTGCATTGAATTAATGTTGGGGTTTTTCTTCCCAAAGTCTGAGAGTTTTAGCAGCGCTTGGAATGAGCCCTTAGCTTCACATATAAAAAAAACTTTATTGCCCATCTCGATACTCAAAACTAAGTTATGTAACAATATTTTTTTACCAAGTAATGTATTTTATTGTATTTCTGTTCTTCTGATAGAAACAGGGTCTTCAGGCAAAGAAATACAAAAGGTGAGTTCACGTCCTAATGCATCAATGCATAATGATATGTTACCAGATAATCTAATATACACTTCTTCAGTGTAGCATACTAGCAATTTTCTGGAATGTTCTTAAATAAATAAATAAATAAATAAATAAATGTGTGTAAACAATTTTTTTTATTGAACCTAGCAGACAAAGTTTGGAATCATCTATATTTCTAAAATGCATTAAAACTAAAGATTACTGAATAAACTATGTAAATTAATACATTTCTTTTTACAAAAATACTGAATTGAAGTTGCTGATTAAACTTTGTTATGTAAGAAAAGAAAAAAATCAAAAATATGCGTAAGTCATCAAATAGGAAGAGTGGAAAGTAATTTCTTCAGTGGAACTTACTTTTACACAAGGATGTAAAGAATATAGCAGCTAAATCTTTTTATTATACAAAGCATCCAGCTTTCCAAGTTTGTAGATGACTGCTTAACTTTGTAATGACTGCTTAACTTAGAATGTAAACATAGCATAATATTTATTTGTTTCTTTACAAGGCAGGGGTGTGCAGTGACCTACATCTATTGCTTAGAGAGCAGAAGCCCATGTGGTCATTTTCAAGGTGTTTTCAGCATATCATTACCGGGTAGGATGTACTGACTTGCTTGTTCATCCATTGTGGGTTTGCTTCCTTATTTGAATACTGGCATATTTTATTAATATGTATATCATAAATCTAAGATTTAAAAGTACAATGTTTGCATTTAAGTCCAGTCCTAAAATTAAAATACTATTTCCTTCTGCTTCAGTGGATTAGAGGAAAAATGCCTCTCAGAAAAGGAAAAATGCCCAGAGGCATGTCCACAAATGACTCACTGACACTTTGTGTACATTTTCCTTCTGCTTGTTTCAGAACTCAGCAAAACACTTTGTTGGTCATAGATGAGAGAAAGCCTTGTCCAGCTAATCCTAAAATGATCTCAACTTTCAGCATCATCTAGGCTGCTCTATGAACAGGACTGACTGTGCTAGGAAGCAAAGGCTAATTGGTCTTGAGAACAGCTGTCCTGATAGGTAGAAGATATATCAGTAAGAAACTATGGGGCAATATTAATTCAAACTCTAAGGCTAATAAGGACAGTATTTGAGTTGTGAGTCTCTAATGCAAACAAAAACTGCTTTGAGTTTAAGCAGACTCTGACTTCTACCCACAAAGCCTGTAAGTCACTGAACTAGAACTTGGCTCAAAACCCACGTCTGGATATGGGCACTGCAGTCCCGTGCTATGCTGCTAAAAAAACTTATGCAGGTGCTCTGAAATTTGAGCTATCAAAGTCAAGGAGACTGCTCTCAGGAATAAGGAAAAATATCTTCTTTTTCATGTTGGAAGGAAGAGATGGAAGGAAGCCTTCAAAATATCTTTTATTTCTTACTGCTTTTGCTGACACTTGACCCTTTTTTCTCTTAATGTCAACTGTATATCAGAAACCCAGGTGGCATAAAAAGAAGTTAATTTGCCTCATGTGAGCCAAAGTTTCTTATGTAAAAACTTCTGCAGAAATTATGAAGATTAAGTATGCATGTGGTAAATTTTCATTCATATCTAAATCAGTAATTAACTTATTGAAAAGTTATGCTCTCTAACCAAAAGGATGGCTTTCAACAAGTGTTTTGAATTGTTAATGTTACTACATGGTTATCAGGTCTATGACTCATGAATGTGTTTTAGGTGGTTATTTTTTGTTTGTTTTGCTTATGACACAATTGGGTTTTTTTCTTTAGATAAACAGTAGATAGAAGGGAGTGAATAACAGTCATCCCAGATTATAGCAAGAGAAATTTAGCCTAAATCACATGGGGTGAAATATGCTCTCACTAATATTGGTGCAAAGAATAAGAAGTACTGGTCATAGGCAGCAACTGGAGGGAGTCAAAAAAAAAGAGGTGAGAGGATAGGAGTCACTCTCATGGTCAAGGAAGAGATGCCCCTGCATCAACTTGTAAACAAGCACTTTAATCATGTTTGCTACTTCATTAGAATTTGAACAATTCATATTGAAATATGAAAGATGGTTTTATCTCCCTTCTCTTTTATGCAGGTCCTGGATGGCTTTAAGCAAAACACTTCTCATCTGAATTATGAGGATAACAATAATAACATTTCCCTGTCTCAAAGGGCTGATTATGAGAATAAATTAGATACTCAGATGTTATGGTAATGCGTCCCAGTAAATGAAAAAATTTTCAAAACAAAATAACCACATTTACATTCTTTTTTAGATACCTACATTTCAAAAATCTCTTTTGGCAATCATAAGCTGTTTGTATGTAAACAAGGAATTTCTGGATGGTTAACCCCAGAAATGTGAAGAACACTTATTGGGAAATACTTCAGCTAGTTGACAGCAGAATTATATAAAGAGGAGACTATTAAATTATTAAATGACCTACACTACAGCTTCTTGTATGCAGTTTTGCAGCTGGAGGAGAAGTGACTATTAGGATGCTTAGTTTGGTCTCTTCAAAATGTCTACAGTGAGGATCTGGATTGAAAAGTGATTATGTAAAAATAGCACTTCCTACTCAGCAGATCTGTTCTTGTGCACTTTAGTGGGGAGAGAGAAAAAAGAAAAAGAAAAAATATCACTGCATATCTTCCCTGCTGAGCCACCATATCTCTGGGGGAAAGAAACTGCATTATACTCCAGTTTATGCAACTTCATCAAAATCACCAATTTAAAGCTATAATGTACCTAAGCAAAACCCATCATTTCAAAATTGTGCCCTTTGAAATCAGACCTGCATAACCTCATTACCTTCAGCTGAATGGAAATGAATGAAATGAAAGGAAATAAACCCTTCACACAGAAAAATCATGATTGGATTTCCTCCAGCTTCCTATCATCACCCAAACTAATCAAGCTATTTTCTCCCCAGGTGGAAAATGAATAGAAAGAGAGAGGTGATGATGATTATTTTTTTAAATATTTGGCAGGTAGTCTCAGAGCATGGAGCCCATATAAGTTTCAAGAGGTTACATGAGGACTACAGAAGGCTAATGCTATGATAACAGCTGCTAGCACAGGGATGTAAGCATTGCAAAAATCAGGTTCACGCCGTTTGGCCAGCCTGTTACCAGGATTGTCAGACTCCTAGGTGATGGAGTGGGCTTCGCCACTATCAGCTGCTTCCAAAGGATCAATATATCACAGCAAATGTTCCTCTTCCAGCTTTTCAAAAGAAGTCTTTGTCAGCATGATTTTTTTTTCCCCAAGGAGAGCAGATGATGAAGCTCCTTTAAAAAGCAAAAAAAAAAAAAAAAAAAAAATTTTTAACACGGGAAGATGCATACTTGGTATCTGTCTAGAGATTTGAAAGGATACTTTGATCATTCTTGCCAATTACACACCTGTTAGAGGCGAGTATATTTACATATTTAATATTCAGCTAATCTCAAAACACTTCTTTGATCAAACAGACACGCCATTTATCCTCAAACGCTGTGCCAAAATCTCATCTCTAGATAGCCTTATGTGTGAAGTGATGAATTTGTTTTTAAGTCTTTTACAGAATGTCTTCCATTTTTCACTTCATATAAAACACCTACCCTTTTAACAAGTGTATTGCCTCTCTTGAACACTATCTTTAAATATAAAAGAAATCATACCAGAACGGTTCCCTCAGGGTTTTGCCTTTTGACATTTCTTTACTTAGAAAACTTCTGAGAAGGAAAATTAATGGCATTATGCTTGCAGACACAATCCTTTTCTAAATGAACAGAAATGTCTAGATATTTCTCCTTCCCATCTGTGACACATCCTAGTTTGCCTTGTAAACAAAGATGCTGAATGACCTTCACTAAGTCCCTGGAGCAGTGGACTTAGAAGCTTGACTAGCCCTAGGACTGCAAGTTCTGAGTTAGGGCTTGTGCACAAATTGAAAATGGAAAGATTACTGCATAAGTTTGCAGGAAAACCCCACATAGATTCTGACAGAAGCCAGTCCATCAATAGAGGTTTTGCAACAGACTCTGGAGTCAGGTCTGTTACGTTAGAGTTTGATATGACAAATCCCCCCCAAAAAAGCCTTTTTTTTTTTATTAAATTGTGTTCTTATAGAATAAATGCTTTCCAAGCGATGTGTAAGCTTGTAATGCTTTTCTTCTTTGTACCAAGCTTTCTCTTAAATCTCCTAAAAAAACTCTTTCCCAAAATAAGAATCCACACAAGAGAGCTTTATTCCACAGAGATGCACACGCAGCATCACAGTTCCTCTATGTATTAAGAATGCAGCATTGCTTTGAACTTCAGACTAGATCTTCGAGACCTTTCAAGCATGGTCTATGTGTTTTCTAAAGTACCTGGCATTCCTCTCCTTACAGTACCAGGCATTCTAACAGCAGTGTTAAGACCTCAAGGCATGCAGTCTGCTAACAGAACTGTAATATATCTGGAGCCACTGGCAGAAAAGCACTACTTGCTTTTTTTTACAGTCCTAAAATTGAACTACCAATTGAGGCTGAGGTCCACTCGTCACCAGTACGCCTCATTAGTGGCATTTGGTGTTTGAAGGAATAACTGATTTTGACCAATTGTTTTCAGGGTGCAAGGTGCAACTGTATGGACTTACTTAAGCATGGACTACAGAGCTTGATAATCTATAAGATGCAAAATAGGCAGTGAAAATATTGGAGAGAAACAGAAGAAATTCTCTTTCAGAGAGTGTAGCAATCTTTTCATCCTCATCTATCACAGAAATATTCTGGAGGTCATAAATCATGTTTTCTTACCAACTATAAGGTCAGTAAACAGTAGAACTTACTACAAGGATACAAACAATAATCTTAAAAATTTACAAAGATAAAATTAAATACCCTTCAGCAAGAAGACTATTTTTCCTTCCACATCATTAGATTTTTTACTTTTTTCCTTTAGTCATAAGACTCATTTTCTTTGCAAATGTTTTTTCTACCTGGGACAAATTTGTAGAAACTGATTTACTGAGAAGAATTCTGACACTTTCCTGGCAACTTGCAGTGATGGCTGGTGAAAGCAGCTAAATTTTGCTGTAGAAGATATTTGCAAAAACTCATGAAAACAGCTTTTGAACTCACCCAAATGTCATACCCCTAAAGACAAATCTAAACAGAAATTGTTAATTTTTACTCACTTGAGGAACCCCATTTGGTACATTGTCTATACAGTTTAATATTAAAGTTGGTTTGTTTTGTTTTGTCTTGTTTTCCCCAAAGGAAAAAAACACTGAATTTAAGCCTTATTTTTCTTGTAAAGTTGCCTAAACTGTATATCTATCATATAATTTTGCCAGGAGACTGTTTTGCTTCTAGCGATTTCACCCTGAAGTCTACAAAATCTGGTGAGATCCATCAAGAATGAAAAACCAGAAATGCTGGGTATCCCTGTTTTGCCCAACTCCCCATAGTCAGACACAAGCAAGTAAAAGAGGTTCCAAAGAAAAGCCAAGAGCTCTGTCCCTGCATGTCATGAATTACAGATCACTCTTCTTCACCTTGTAAAAAATATAGGGCTTGTAGTACAAAAGCTACCAGAGGACGCTACCAGTATTTCAGGTTCCCTACAGCAGCAGGATATTTGTTCTGCTTAGAGGAACCCAGCAGTACCACAATCCAGTTATTTCTCCTATATCATGGCATTTTGGGTTTTGTTTTTGTAAGCGTTTCAGTCATGAAAAGAAAGTCCATAAGAAATTTGCATCCAACAAAGCAGTATGTCAAGGACTTTAAACTGTGTATATCTCACAAAACTCATCCTCAGTGCAATGCCTTTTCTATCGTCTGGCTTGAGAGTTAATTTCCTAAATAAACTTTAGAAGCCTTTCATTTAAATTCTTCACGGGTATAACTTGCTAAAGGTGATTCAGATGACAACTTAATAAAGGCTGATCTTGTGAAAACAGAATAGAACAAGATGACAAGAAATTAGAGTACTATTCTATAATAGAGTATTTTTTTCTAATTCTGAGAAATTTATTTAACCTTGCTGTACTTCATTGTACTCTAAGGATAATGATACATGCCTATTCTACAGAGATCTGTGAATATAATTATCTTTACATTTCAAAGCTATGGGAATGAAAAGTATCATTACTTCACTGTTATTTAATTGTATTAAAAATTATCCTTCAGCTTCCATTAAAGTCTTCGGTATTTAATAGAACAAAAGCGAGCCAAAATGATGAAGGCCATACACCTTTATTTTCTCTATGGGTAAAGGTGTTTACTTACATGAATTGATTGGCAGAGCAAAGTCTTTTTAGAGAAACAGAGCCTATCTTCTTTTTGAAGGAGGAAGAACTCCTTTTGAAGGAACTCCTTTTGAAGGAGGAAGAACCCACAAACCCACCAGTTTGTGGGTTCTTCCCAGCCTTTTTGTACTGTTTCAGGTCTGGGAGCTTTTGGGTTCTGTGAGCACTATAATGTTGCTGTATTACACTTCAAAGAAAAATAATCTAAAAATAATCTAAAGAAATCAAGCTCTCTGGTCTTAACATCCCAGATGGGAGAACAACAGTTGGATGCTGACTAAACACAAGTCTCTCTGCAGCATTTTAATAAAATTTCCTCAATACTTTGCTGACATAAATAAGGTATTTCATAGAATTTGTTATTAAATGTAAATATTCTGACAGATCTAAGAGCTCATTGAAAATTAATAACAATTATGAGTAGTGCAACATAACTCCCCCCTTCCTTTACTCTAACCAATGAACTGTGTTTCTGAAAGTAACTTTTTACTAAAATCAGAAGAGCTGTCAGCAGAAGGATGACTACATCACTAAGGTCAGAAACTATATAGGATGCAGTAATAAACCCATGTAATGACATCAGCTTTCTCTAAAGAATTTACATTCTGTGACTAGGCAGATGAAAAAGTGAAGATATTTTGGATGTTATTGTACTTTGCACAAACACCATCTTTGGGTGTTACTGATCGGTGTGACTATCGTAAAAAAAAGTGTGCTAGAATAACCCTAAGAATATTTAGAGTGTGTTTATATAATAGCCCTCAAGAAATAAATTTATCAGAGTTAATTTTTTCTCTCTCTGTATATATATTTAAAGTTGTTATGGCTTCAGATAAAATGTATGTATTAAGTTGGTTTGAAATTTTGGAAACTGGTTATAGCAGATCAGATTTACACCTTAGCATGCTCAAAAGTTTACATCATGACTCACTAAGATGGCAACATTATTCGAATGATGGGTCCTTACCTTTATGTTTCCACGTCTTTTCTTTTTTCTGTGAAATGAAGAGTGAAGAGTATATTTCATCCTCTAACTCTAAGTCTTCAGACATTACAGTCCCCTGCAGCTCTGAGTCACAAATCAAGTAGTTATTACAGTCTGGACTCTCGGTATCTACCCCTGCAGGGTAGAAAGTCAGAATAAAGAAAGGTAGTACACTGACTTTATTAATGTCAATGATAGTAAAGATAGCACCAAATGAAAGACCATGAAAAAAGCCTCAGGGTCACCTGACTAGATGAACTTGCAACAGCAGCATACCCACATTACACAAGGAATTGAAGCTACTCTGACAGTCAAGGTCTAAAGGGCCCAAAAGTTGCAAGCAAAAAGTTTCACAGAAATTTTTAAGGATCTGAGATAAAGTTGGATTAAGCAATGTCTAAAGCTGCTTCTGTGTCATAACAGAGAAGAAAAAAATCCTAAACTAGAATCCAAGAAAGAATGACATTTGTAAAATTATTCAGAACAACTCTTAGATATCTATGATGCATCTTCCATTGTGGCTTTCTAAAATCTGTTCCTTGTGAATTATTCCAGAAAATGCTTCTACTCTTTCCTCTTCACAGCTGAGGTTCAGGAAACTACTGTTACTTCTTTTTCTTTTATATACCTAAAAATTAATCTAAAGATTCTGGCAACTTTTGGAAGGCAGAATACTATCATAAAAGATACAAAGAGCAATGCAGTAGCCTTCATCTAATTTTTGTAATGTTAAAAGATGTGTATGAACAAAGTGGAGCGAGATTAAATAGTCTGAGTTGTGTGGGGTGTTTTTGTTTTGCCACTGCATGTACTGTATACCTATTTTTTACACATATATCTATGGAATTTTACCCTTAATACAGATGTATTTGAAGAAACACCATGAACTCAGTTGTATACCAAATAATTTAATTTGTCATACAAGTTTTAGCTACATGCTTATTTAGGTGCTTATTTACATGCTAGGTAGTGCCTAGTGGCTTCTGTGGCTCCAGAGATTCGCTATTCTATTTATAGGTCTTAATCACTAAGTTTGTGTTCATTATGGGTTCAGTTTGCTATTATATGCCAAAAATTCAAGTTTATTCAGGTGAAAAAAAGTACATCAAGAAAAAGTATCAGTTACTTTCACAGAATGGGTCAGGTTGGGAGGGACCACTGGAGGTCATCTAGTCCAACCTTTCTGCTCAAACAGGGTTCTCTCTAGCACGTTATGCAGAATTGTGTGCAGACAGCTTTTGAACATCTCCAGAGGAGGATACTCCACAGCCTCTCTGGGCAACCTGTTCCTTTCTATGCTTTCTCACAGAAAGGAAAGTCCTTGAGCTTCATTTTCTATTCTGCAGCATTCTTTCTAGAGAACTGCAGTGTTCAATCAGTAGAGATCTGCAATTACCAACTACATGAAAGCCAAAGTGAGATTTAAGTGTAAACTTTGTTCACTGATCTAAGTTGATACTGGCACAATCTAAATATGCACATTTACCTGACACAGCTAGATTTAACTGTGATCTAGAATAAGCTTTGAGTTCTATTTTTTCAATAGAAAATGGTTCTGTGAAGCTCTGAAACACCTAAAAATTACCTACAGGCTTTAAAAAAAAAAAAAAAGGCAAATAGAAATAAATAGAGGGCATTATCTAATATTAACATGTCATTTCCTATACACTGTATACATTTTTATGAGTGCAGATTCCAATTTATTATATCCCAGAATATGCAAAAAAGCATATCAATTCAGTTAAACACAGTTCATACCTTGGGGGAAGAAAACAAAGTTTATATTATCATTGCATTTTTGCCTGCTTCAGTAGCAGGCTATTAGGTCATACAGAGACAAATTTAGCATATAAAAGAATTGTGTTCTCTTTCTTTAATATAATGAGATAATGAGATTTTAATTGTTCCAGAATCAGATTCTGCCACTGTTATAATGTATAGCATACTGTTAGCAGAAAACATTTACACTTTTCTAACTCAGAGTCCACTGAACACTTTCTTGCCACTGAAGGGTCAAAATGCACACAAGAAGAAATACTATGTATGACTTGTGTGTCAACCCATTGATATTAGGCTATTATCTTACTTGAGAAGTTGTAGACTTAGCAGAGTAATTTTCACACTCTCATACCATGTTTTTTCAATGTACTTTTTTTTTTCATGTAATTGTACGAAAAATTAGATATTGGGTAAAACAGTTAAAGGCAATAACCCCTATGAAACTTTACAGTTTTTTGTTGCCAAATATTTGATTAGCTTTTTTATTTCTTTAGGTTAGTAGAAAATTGAGAACTGCCAGGAATCAAGATGACACATAGAACCATGTAATGGTCTGGGTTGGAGGGGAACTTATAGATCATCTAATCCAACTTCCCTGCCATGGGCAGGGACACCTTCCACTAGACCAGGTTGCCCAGAGCCCCATCCAAACTGGCCTTGAACACTTCCAGGGATGGGACATCCACAGCTTCTTCGGGCAGCTTCTTCCAGTATCTCATCATAATACAATCTTTCACATGATTTAAAGGGTGGAGATTTAGGCACTTACTCAGATATTTTGGAGTGCAAAATGCTCAATCCTGTAGCTGCATGCAAGAACAAGTTGGCTTTAACAAGATCTTCCACTATTACCAATATGCAGTAAGGAGAAAACACCGGTTTTTGGCATTTACTCAAAGCCTAACACAAGCACCAGTCTGCTTACTTGTCCTTGTCTTGCACATTAAGATATATGCATTAGGCCAAATAAATGAGAAAGATCACAAACCCATTTCTTATCACAACAGTTATACAAAGAACTTTTATTAGAGACCAAATGCCTACCTAAGGTCTTCTGAAACTATTAGACGTTTTTTAACTTGGCATACCTTAAACATGACTAATCAGTACAATCTTAATCTGATTATTACACTCTGTACTCATGTATTCACTGCAAAGTTTGGTCTGCCAAGTTATGTCATTTAAGAGCTCCATTTGGGCTTGATCATTTGAAAAGCTCAGTATCATGGCTGAATGCACCAACAGGCTGTAGTAGTCCTGGTAAGACTCCACTCATGAGCCCATGACCTCAGAAGACTCATTTAGCCTCAGGCTGCTCTATCCTATAGGTGTTACCTACAATCCTCATCCCCACATCGCTGCTCTGGCTTGTTGCCTTGCTTTTGCTATATGGTCTCTTCATAAGATCTATTGCTATTAGCACCCTGCTCTGCTTATTCAGCTCAGGTGCAATTGGACTGTGCCCTGGCAATGAGGGCACTGTTCATCCTGTGCTGTGGCCGCTCTCAGCTCCTGGCTCACTTTTAACCTTGCAGTCCTGCTTTTGCTGCTCCCTGGCACTCAGTAGCCATCATTCCTGTCAAAAGTGAATCTCTTTTACAAGTGAGGCACCTGAAAGCATTCAGCATATCATGGAAACAGCTGTGCATGGAGCAGCTCAAGTATACCACTCGCTATTAGCATACTCAGTTACAAGACTTGCCTTCAGTATGTTGCTCTTTTTTTCCCACTTCAGCTGCTCTGCTTTTCAGAACTTTTCAAAATGTGCTAGTAATCTTCCAAGATGCACACGCAAGGGTGCTCTGCCTAGAATGGGGTAAACCAACTCAAACGATGCTCTATTTGCAAAGCTACCAGTAGTAAATGAAGAAGGGGTTGTCATGCTGCTTTTGGTGTTGAATACTGCTGAAACCAATCTGGCTCATCAACCCCAAAGTTAGTCATCCTGATAGTGACATGAAGATGTGGTAGACCTGGTGAAGTATACAGATAAAGGAATAAACAAGCAATACTACTAAAAACTTATCTAAAGCTGCTAAGCTGACACAGCTGGCCTGGAGATATATGACTAACAGTACACTACTATAAAAGCCCAGTCCCAAATTTTAACGGTAGTGTTGTCCTGGAGTGTGTTGTACAGAGATTCCTCCCCTGAGTGGGGATGCCCTCAAGGTTACTCCCTGAGGCTGAGCAAAAGAGATTTGACCACGGTCATTAGCATGGGTGAGTAACATCAATCTCTACTTGTTAATTGTTTTTCTAGCTTTAATATGATAGTTTTAACTTAATTGCTTCAACATTTTTTCATAGTGTGCTATATTATAATAGTGCTATATTGTGTGGTACATAATTCTGATTAAGATCTTTTTGTCTAATCATTACTATAATAACGAATATATATGTTTATATATATATATGGTTTGCCATCCTTAATCCTGCAGGATAAAGTTGTATAAAGGTTCAATTACACCTATGTAATCCTTTAGACATAAACTGTTGACAAAGTCTGGGGCTAAGATGGGATCCAGATGCACCCAGGCTCCTCTGAGAAGTAGTTTAGAAAGCAAGGGAGTCCTTTCTGCACCCTGTGACTGAGCAGCGGGAGGGCTTCTTTAATAAACTTTGTCTGAAGCTCCCACTCTGCCCACTACAAAGGGTCTAGCTGTGATTTGTATGAGAATAGCAGATGGCAGAAAACATCTTGCCATTAGTGGTAGTAGAAACAGCTGGAGAAATGGACAAAGAGAGATTTGTGCGGTCAAAAAGAAAAATGCACATTGTTCCCCATAGCCATAGTCAATTAATTGATTTCCATGACATGAGTATCTTACCTAGGAAACATCTCAAAATTTTTATCTTTCTCACCACTACTCCAAGAGCCAGAGGAATAGAACAGGGGTGAATATTCAAGCCATTTAATTTTTTCTACTATATACTTAAACCTGTGGAGTGCAACCACAGATGAGGGACTCTAGGAAAGCACTCATTGGTTGAGAACAGATCTGTTCCAGAGATGCTTTACATCTCTCCTAACAATCTATTTTCATATAACTTACTAAATAATGTGCACCTCAGACACAGTTATGAAGTTTCACTTTTACTGCCCCAGCCATCTGCACATATATCAAAGACTTAATAATAGCCAATTACATCATCCAAAAAGCAAAAACAAGCAAAAAAAAAAAAAAAAAAAAAAAAAAAAAAAAAAACTGCTAAACCTCTGCCAAATTTGGAGAAAAATATCAATTGTTTTTTTTGGAAAGCATCAGGAGTTTGGAGGAGGCTAAAAGAAAAGATTATGTTCTGTTAGAAGACCTTTAAAGAGCAATCTGCATGCTGCATCTTAAGGAAAAATTCTGGTAAGCCTTTGGATATAATGTATTATTTGTCCATTTCTCATAAAAATTACTTAAAATGTAGAATATTATATTATATGAACTTAAAAAAATACATCAATTTCAATCATTTCTGTAAAAGAAATTGTTTCCTTGTCTTTCTGATAGTCTGTTGATAAAGGATGATTTTATACAGTCCAAAAGAAGACCAGATTAATGTCTCCAACAACTCAATTCTATTAGGAGATTTAAATTCTCTTAGGAAAAAAAATATAGTTAACCTTCTCAATTTGCCACAATATTAAGTTTCTTAGAAACAAAACTACAAGCATTTTTTGACTCATTTACAGCATGCAGATAGCTTGCCTCATCTTTCCTACTTAAAGATAAAAGCCACATGTAAGAAAGAGCATTTAGAAACTATCAGGTATCTAAGTAATAGTTGATCTTAAAAGCCTCTGAAATTATGACATGTAGGCCAGCTGACTATCGGTAACAGGACTAGTAATAGTGTATTATCAGCCCAAATAGAGAACAGAAGCTCTACAAGTTAAATTTTAATACATTATAAATTAAATTACATGTTCTTTCATGTTTGACTAACATAATCAGGCAAAATTGAAGTAAAAACATTTATTATTTTCAGAATAACTTTTTTGCTACTATTTAAAATACAAAATAGAGCAACTTCCTTTCAACATGACTCATTCAAGGGAAGCTCATAGACTGTCTTCAAACTAGTAATCATGGTTGCATAAAATTTTTCTTGGTTCGAAGGACTATGTTCCTTATAAAAAAAGAACATTATAAATTTAGAAAAACACCCTACTGATTTAAGAAAAGGTTGACATAAAGAGTCTGTTGTTGACTCACTGTCAGCTACATCTAAAGACAAATCAACATATTTCCATGGAGAATGTCTCGTGCTTGCAGTTTACAATCGATGAGGAGGACAGAAGTGATAAGTAGAACACTTTCTACTTACATATTAATTTTGTACCCTAATATACATCTGAGAGAATTTACAAATGGTCAAAAGCAAAAATACTGAAGGAAGACATTTATTTTCCCATCACAGGCCATGGAGAAAAAAAAGAAGTAATATACATGAAACCTAAATGTCAGACACTTGTCTTAGTACCAAATTCTAAACAATTTAATATTTGATTGTGTGACTAGATTTTATAGTATGTCAACCATTATACAGATGTGTTCAGTTTGTTATATGTACAAACAACATTTGGTTATAAACTCAGCAGTGACTACAGGCCACTAGAATCTTTCTGTTGCTACAACCTCAGGCTTGTTCCTAACAGAAGAAAAAAACACGAAGGTGCATGCAGGAATTTGGAAAAGTAATCAGAAGAAGGCCAAACAGATGATCACGAGAGACACATCCTTAGGATCAATGTCTATGGCCACAGATGCCATTTAATTTCGTTGTTCATTTCATTCACTTCTTTGCATCTTTAAGTTAAAATCTGGGTTTCTTTGGTTTTGTTTTTTTCTTAGTATGTGCTTTCAGTGTTTTAAAAACTGAACTGAGGACAGCTTATGTTCTGACAACTAAAATACTAGCTTTGTACCATGCTTTGTCCACAGCCAGGAGCACTCCCAACAACTGCTCCAGGGGTGCTGAGAGTTCTAACACCACCCTAGCAGAGGATTTTATGGCAAGAGGAAAAAGCCTCATGCACTCTCCTAACCAGATGTATGCAGGCATATTGGCTTTGGTGATTACAACTTCTATTCCTGCTTACTCGAGGCATCAAAAGATGTTTTTGCTACTGTTGTATCACATTTCTTTCAATAAAATTGATAAAAGTTGTGACCACTTAAATGGGGCATGAGAGGTGGGATGCACAGATAGATTACAGGAATCCAAATAAATGTATGTAATTCAAACCCCAACACATTTTATTTGGAGCTGATGTGCTTCAGAGGAGCACACTGTGATTGCGATGCACACCTTGTGTAACGCTGTTCAATTACTTAATGCAATTCATGTTTGCGAAGACTGTATTTCAAAATCTACAGCAATGAAAATCTCTAGTCCTAAAAACTCCAAATGCCTTAGTGAGGTTACAATAAACAACTGCCTCTCTGAAGGGGGCTACAGTGGGCTGATCTAAAAGAAAAAGTGGCAAGTAAGTCTTAAAGACCAGCAAGAATACTCTATGAAGTAATCTGGCATATAGACAAAGCCTGTAGTAAATGATGATTTACTCCTTTTAAAGATGCTTTTTTTCAGTCACTAGCTCTGGAGCTTTTGGAAACATTTGGATTCAAAGCTTGAGTAATGTACAGCTACTTTTATCTAAGACATCTATGCTGGGTTTGTTTATCCAAATTGCAGATTAACAAGGTTGAAGATGCAGAAACACTACAGCTTGCATATGTAGATCTTACCAGTCTCAGAGGTGAAATCTTTCAAGTCTCACCTGTCAAAGCCAATTTTGCACCATGCAAATGTGGGTAAACCACTTCTACAGCCAGGCCACACGAGAAAGAAGTGCAGCTGCAGAGCTGCGTAGCCAGTTTCAGAGGTCCACATCAACAGCCTACAGAGCCAGGCTGATGTTTCACTACCCACTGGGACTGGAGGTTACAATCCAACATGTGACTGTGCAGTCAGACTAGTTAGTCCTTTACAGCTTAACTACAAGTGGATTCATTCTGTATGTGCAACTGAAAGGACTCAGCTTGGGTTTGGAACTCTGTGAGGCATAATCCAGTTCCCTTCTTAACATAAAGCTTTGGAAATGGCATGATGACTGCTGGATACAGATGAGAGCCACAGAAGGTACACTCAAATATCTGGGAGTAAAGAATGTAAAAATAAAACATTTTAAAAATGACAGATATGCCAAACATTAAGGACAAAACAGAAATTTTACCTCAGTTTTATGGATCTGGTTATCTATTTATATTTCCATGGCTTTTTGATTATAATATATTCCACATTTGTTCATCTCTCTTTCACTGCTGTATTGGAGGATTTTTTTACATGGGCTTTCTGGACTACATGCAGACACAACATTACATCCTGCTTTTATTTTTTTTTTTATTTGATTTCCTGGCCTTCAGAAAGCATCAGTTTAAAAACTCAGGCAGAAGTAACTTCCAGCAAACAAGATTCTGATTCTTTAGACCTCAGGGCCACCATCTTCTTATTTTTTCTCAAGCTGACTGAATCTCTATATAAATAGATACTAGTATGACAAATGTGGTTGAAAAAGTCAAGTGACATTCAAAACACGTCTTCAGATGTTTGTCAGCAGGGAAAATGAACGGCAGGTAACCCACAGAACAATAAATATCCATAATTAAAACAGCTACATTAGAATTTGTTTCTGTGCCTTTGCACACAGCGTCTTTTCATTCACCTAAAAAATAAAAGTCAAAGCAAAAAGGGAAAGACAGAATGAAAAACTGCCAGGAAAATCTGGTTTCATTTACTACAGAAAAAAAGCAGAATCAGGAAATGGTCACTGCTTCAAAATGACAGTGAGTTATGAGATTTAAGCTTTCTTAAATTAAGAAAATGGCATATATCTCTAAAAATCAATGTTAAAGAAAAATACTCGTTTTGTACATTTTCTGTAGCACTTGAAAATATTTGAAAACGGTTACTCAATACTATAGAAAGTAAAGTTGAAACTGACTCAAGTCAAAGCACCCTAAATGCAATGATATGTAAATGGTTTTCGTTAACTAAGGAGATGTGCAAAAAATATAAGCAGTGCAAATGACACATTAGTTGTTAGCTTTATACTAACAGGATTGCATTCAAGGAATGTAACTTGCGCCACTCTGCTACTGCCATTATTACGAAGGCCAATATGCTGTTTTAGTCTAAAGAACAATTTTTTGTACATAAATAAGAAATTAAATATACATAACTACTCAATATATATGACATGATCTTTATTTGAAATAGTTATTATAAATTGTTATGCATATCTAATTTTCTGCTCATTAGGGTAACAGGTAAGTCCAAATACTTAACCTTAATGACCTCAATAGCAAATTTCAAATTTATCTAAAAAAGGGCAGTCTTGAGTGCTTTTCTTACTAGACATCTGAATGTTACAACCTTCCCTAGGAGCAGAGAGTGAAGACACACTGGAGTCAGTTCAGACTTTCCTTATTTGAATTATGATGAAAAAATAATAAAGTATCAGGACAAAATACTGAAAAAGTAAATTATGCTTAAATTTGCGGAGACAATAGAACAACCCAAACTTGCAGAGAGTGATTAAGATTTGGGGGCACTTTAGCCTACACAGCCCATTGTTTTATGAGGATGAAGCAATGTTCCTTGTGCTTCAGTTAAGAGACAGGTTCCATTATTTCATTTCATTCAGTTAAGAAGTGGGAAACACGGGTTTTGAACTTAGTCAGTTTATACAGAGCTTAGATGGGCCTGTCACATAATACTTAAACTTTTTTTGAGAATATTAACTTACATTTAAATGAAAACAAAGGTTTCCCAAATGATGCACATCTCGAATTTAAAATAATGTGACAATAAATATTTTTCACATGAAGATGCAGAAGTTACATACTGCATCAGAAAATACATACCTTACTTTTGTTTTGACAATGGATGACAGGAGTTAGAGCAGATTTGGAGAACTGTACATGCTTGAATAGAGTTTTCTGCTAGACCTGGATGATGAAGCTTCTTCTCAGCTCTGAAGAGAGATGGCAGAATGATCTTCCTAACTGGATATCCATGTCTACTGCAAATAGAAAAAAAAAAGGTATCAGTTCAAGCATAACATGGTAATTTACAGAGAAAAAAAGCTATCTGAAAAATTCTCTTAAAATTGAATGAGGAAAATATGGCCATATATGTCTGTCCTGAGTAAATACTGATTAAGAACAAATCTTGTCTGACAGGTAATGAGTATGTGTTGGTCAGGCACAAGAATATTTAGGATGTGATGGAAAGAGAAGGAATGAAAAACAGGAAACCCTCATACATACAATACACAGGGAATTATACACACTTATTATATCTAACTAAGAATTCTTAATAGAAAAAATTCAATACTCAAGCCAGCAAAAGTTATTCAAGTTTACTATCTGAGGGCAAGGCATAATTCAATGTAAAAATGGAATTTGTTTATTCTTCCCCTGCTCCTCTCATTCAAGGGGCCATCAGTAAGAGTGGCAATTTGAAGAACTACTTGAATTCCTTAGTCCAACTAACAAAAGACAATGCTTTCTCAGTCATAGCCTGACAGAAACTCCCCCTTATGTTGCCAATTATCTCCACCTCAGTTGTTGCCATCTACAGACATTGTGTGCTGCAGGTATTAACTAATTCCCTCCCCAAACAGAGTAATACTCACTCCTGGCCTCTTACCAGCTATACTTTCGTGTCCTTCATTTCTCAGGACTTTTATTTAGAAATCTTGTTCCACCAGTACTTAAACTTTGGCTAAAGCTCAAAAGTTTATGCCTCTCAACTGTATTTCACAAGACACTCAATGCTTACACCATTCCAGAGTAAATTATTATTATAAATGTCACCAAGTTATCTAAATTACTGTATTAGTTTAACATCCACTCTAGATCTTCAGGTTTTCACATCCAGTAGCCTGACATCCTTAAACACTACACCTTTTGCCTGATCATTCAGTGAATACAAACTTACTGCTCTACAAGTGTGAATATCATCCCTTTTTTGATAGTGACCGCAGGCGTTTCTCATTCCTTTCCTCAATGAAAACAGATTAGCCAAGCTGCTACAAGTCCTGACACCTGCACAATTTCTAATTCTTCCAAACATCAGCAGAGCCTACTTTCCACACTGACTCCCCAAATCTCTAATGATTCCTCCAGGCCAAAATCATGAGATGATGCCTGAGAAACCTCAGCTGAGATCAGGGCTCAGAATGACCCAACACTCTTCATCATTTTGGGCTTCTCTAGCCTGTACTAGGGCCCCACGCTGCCTCGACTTCCACTTATTCCCCGTCTATTCCATTCCACAGTATTTCTTCCTTTCCCAAATTCATAGAATATCCCAAGTCGGAAGAGACCCACAAAGATCATCAAAGTCCCACCTCCTAGGCCTTCACAGGACCACCTCAAGAATCACACTTTGGGCTTGAGAGCATTATCCAAACACTTCTTGAACTCTGTCAGGCTTGGTGCCGTAATCACTCCCCTGCGGAGCCTCTTCCAGTTCCAAACAAACCTCTAAGTGAAGAACCTCTCTCAAATATCCAACTTAAGCCTTCCAGTGACACAGCTTCATGACATTCCCTTGGGTCCTTCAGTCATTGTCAAATACCTCCAAAATCCTCGGGAATAAAGGAACCCTCTAACACCATCTTTTCAGTGTTAGAAAACAAGGCGTTACTTTATTTGCACCACTGGGTGTGCATGTGGCCAAGACAAATCCTGTGTCCATACAGATACCGACACATTACTCTTTCACCTATTTATACATTCTTAACAAAGAAAGAAATTACTGTTGTTTCCAAATTACATTAATTAGTATTCTATCCACTACTGGTTATCAATCTCGCGTTGCTTATGCTATTTAGTTAATACTTTTAGTCTTTTTAGTATCTTTGTCCTCCGATAGGAATTTTCTGCCACAAATACTGAGCCTTTGTTAGTCTTGTTATCTGCTGCTTTCTGCGAATGGTCCTTGTTTCCAGATGTCCATCTTCAACAATACATCTTTCTCTCATGGGCTTTGTTCATTGAAGCAGATCAAGGTTAACATTAAGAAAATGTACAATTTTAGTACTTTTCCCAAGCTACGTCTCACAAAAGTTGCTTATGACAGTCTTTTGATATAGGCTGGCTAAAAGTAATTTAAGACCTAACACGCAACCTATGATTAATTAAAACAACTAATTAAAATGTTTAATTGAAAGCATTACAAAATATTAGAAAAGTTGTATCATTTCCAACAGAGAGATCAGTGCCTGCCCCTCCACTTCCACGGGAAGTTGCAGACTGCTGTGAGGTGTCCCCTCGGTCTCCACTTCTCCCGGCTGAACAAAGCAAGTGACCTCAGCTAGTCATGTGGCTTCCCGTCTAGACCCTTCACCACCTTTGTAACCCTCCTTTGGACATTTTCTAACATTTCTAGCAATTCCTCTAAGCTTTTCCTGTGATCTCCTCTGCCTTCATGTAGTTTTTCAAACTATCTTTCAGAGTATCGGCAACAACAAAGCCCAAGGCCCTCCCTCTCGGTACGGGGGAGGGAACTTTTCACCGCTCCTTGCGAGCGGCCCTACAAACTGGACCCTGCAGAGACACCGCATCAGGCCATCCGAGAAAGGCGAGAGCGGAGCTCTTTCGGGCGGGCACTAGGGGCACCTTGCGCATGTTGTTCAATCCGGGCCTCCGGCGCAGCCGCACGTCCCCTGCCGCCGCTCCGCCCCCCGCGGCTCGGCCCTCCCGCGCGACAGCACGGTGTTTTCCATCCTCAGCCGCCCACGGGAGACAAGTGGGCGGCGGCGACACAGGATTCGGCAGGGATTTCCAGGGACTTCCAGGGCTGCCCAGCCCGGCAGGGGGTGTCGGGAGGCAGCGGCCGTGCCAGGCCCCGCCGCGCGCGCACGAGGCTCCCCCGTGCCCTCGGGGCGGCCGGTGACGAGCTCCCCGAGCCCTGGCCTGCCATTGGCTGTGGCCGTGGCGCGAACCGGCCAATCAGGGCCCGGGACGGAGCGGCGCAGCTCGCTCTCCCTCGCCTCGCGCGGCGGCCGCGAGCGCGGGGGGCGGCGTCACGTGACGCTCTGTTTACATCCTCTCAGCTGTCGGGCCCCGCCTCCTGCCCCGTCCATCGCACCGACACCGCGACGGGACCGCAGAGCCCCCGGCCCGCGCCCTCCGCTCTCCGCCCCCGAGCCGCCGCAGCGCTCTGCCGCCTGCAGTCCCCTCCCCAGGCGGGTCCGGCGCTGCCGCCCCGTGCAGGGCCCGCGGCCCCCTGCGGAACGGGTGAGTGTCCCGCAGCGGGGGTGGGCAGAGCTGCGCTCTCGCCGCGCTCTGCGGCGCCCAGGCCCCCCGGGACAGCCGGGACGGTGGGTTGCGGCGAAGGGGTGGGACCGCGGGCCGCCGGCCCCTCCGCTCAGCTGGGGTCGGCTTCCCGGGTGCCCCGGGTCCCATTGTCCGCGGGCCCCGCACGCAGGCGCGGGGGAAGGCGGGGGGGTGTTTGTTTTCGCGCAGCCGGGACGGGGCGAGGGCTCGCCCTGGGGAGGCACGGGACGGGGGCTGTGCGCGTCCGCCCTCAGCAGCCCGTTTCTTCTCGTCCTCCTCCTTTGCCCGACCCCCGCCACCCCCCGCTCCATCCCGCCGCCTGCGTAATAAATAATCCCTGGCCCAAAAAGGGTTGGGAGGAGGGGAGGTGGTTGATGTAGCTGTCGCGGGCCCGGGGCAGCGGTGAGGGGAGGACGACAAGAGAGAAGGTTCGAGTCCTGAGATCCAGGCGGAGTGGGGGGTGGAGGCAAGGTAAGGACATTGCTCGTCCCCCACTGCGGCTCAGCGCCCTGCCTCTTCCCCCATGATGGCAGTGGGTTTGCTTTTTGCCTTTGAGGAAATGCAGTGAGAACAGGAGCTTGCGTTTTGGAGGTTTGTTTGTTGTTTGTTTGGGGGTTTTTGTTGGTTGGGTTTTGTTGTTTGTTTTTTGTTTACCTCTGCCGAGCTTTTATAACCTCAGGGGCTTGTGGGGGCTGGCTGCGTCTTCCAGGCCGAGGCATCTTTGAGGGGTGCGTGAGACAACGCTTTGTTTCCCGCAGACTCTAGGGAAGGATATTTCTCCTTTCGGGAGAGGAGTTGGTGCAGCGGCAGTGAGGGGAAAATACTTTATTTACATAAATAAAGTGTGTGAAATGCGCGATAAGTTCGCTTTTCGCCCCTAAGCCGGAGTGAGTCGGTCGGTGAGCCTTCCTGGCAGCCGCCAGGGGAAAGCGAGAGGGCTGCTCTGCCCCCCGCTTTGCCATAAGCGCACATTTTGCCTCTGTTTACATTGTGGTCTCTGTTTTGGCTGGGAGCAGCGTAAGGGGAGGAGCAGGAACTGGCTCCGGGGCAGCCACCTCCGCCCCTCTGTTTTCTTTGTTGTTATCTGTTCGGGGAGGCGTCCTGGGGTCACGTCTGCCGGTAGCTGAGCCGCAGTCTGCGGTTAATGGGATTCCTCTTGGGCCCGAAACCTGGGCCGCCTTCTGCCGTGCGTGTGCCGGTCTTGTCTGTCCCCCGCCGTCGCCCTCCTCCCCCTGCCTCCGCAGTTGTCAGCGGCTCGCAGTGGAGTTGGAGGAAGGGGAAGGGAGGGCAGAGGGGGAAGGAATCTTGGCATTTATTTGATACTCAGTCAGCAGCCTGGGCCAGCTTTGTACAGCTCTGTCATGAAAAAATACCGAAACAAGAAGCTCCTCAAAAACCACCTATGGCCGAAGGGTGAGGGGTTCGTTCAAAAACATCTTCAAAGTCTGCAGGAAAGAAGAGATGGAAGTACTGAACTGCTGCAGTGTGTAGAGAATGCATGTGTGTCCTTGCAGTACTTGCCAGGGCCCACATAGTTACTGTTCTAGCAGGTATTTTTTCACTCCAGTCAAGTAGAAGTCAAATACAGTTGAACTACACACTTTAGTGAGGAAGTAGGGTTTCTTCTGATAATGAGGAACAAATTTTGATACACACATAAAAAAAAAGACACAGGTAAGGCTAGTCAGCAGTTGAGTGAATTAATGAAGATACCCAATTCCTCTTCACCATGTGACCTTTCTGTTACAGAGAAGGCTTGTTAAGATGCAAGATGCAAAAAATCTGATGCCTAAAATTAATATGTTACAAGCATGTATTGTCTTTGTAACCTTAATCCATTATGCTTGCAAATGAATCATAATGTGTGATACATTTTTTTCCCCAACAGGACCATTACCTTACTCTGGGCAGACCATCTCTGGGAAGAGTCAGGCTTGGATAAGTGGAGCTGTCTTCTGCAGAACTCCTGCCTGATTTGTTGGGAAAGTTTGAAAAATACTTTGGATGTGTAGGTGGAAAAATGTGTGAAAGATCTATTGGTATTTTAACTGACTTTGGGTGAATAAATATAATGATAGGAATGTAAGAAGTAGATGAGTGAGGTCAGAGAGCCACAATGAGGGCTTTGGAGATGGACACTTAGCCAGATGTTCTTTACAACAGTCAGTGTCCCTCAGAAAAGCTAGCAAAAACAATTGGATGTTGTTGGGAGGTCCGCAGTGAGGAGAACGTGATGAAATCACAGAAACAGAAAAAAGTATGTAATACTGAACAGTCCTGGGTGGCAAATCTTATCACTGTGTGTTGTGCAGGATTAGGTTCCTTCCCTGCGTAATCTCTGATCTTCCTTCCAGAATTCTTGTAAAAATATTCCTGCCTCTCTAGTTGGCCTTCTCCCTGGATTTTCTTCATCTAATCTGACTGCCTCGTGAGTTGCTTTAGATGTTTGACTAGCCAGTTTCAATTTTGCAGTGTTTATAAATTTATGAAGTCTTGCCATTTTTATAATCACAATCTTGGCAGATTGGTGATTTTTATTGCTTAGTCTTCTGTTTGCCTGTCAGTGACTGCCCCAAGCTGCAGCATCTCCTTCTGAAGAAGATTCTGCGTAATAGGAGAATAAGAATAGGATCTGAATGCCAGACATGTATTGTAGTTTTCTGTGCCTGTGCTGGACCACACCAGAGCAGTCACTTGTCTGTGTTTCTGTAATCTTGAAGTGCTTTTGAGATAGTGCGTATTCTGAAGCTAAAGGTAGGCTTAGGCATGATACTACTGCAGGTTGAAGTCTTAAAAGAGCATGTTGCCTGTGATATTTTTTTTTCTTTAGGCAAATTTAAAAGACATTAGCACAAAGGTAAAATTTGAAATTCCTACAGCAAGATACAGTTAGTAGTGTAGGGTTTTTTTCCCCCCAAAGATACTCCCAAAACTAGGCAAGATAATTTTTCCATGAAGTGTTCCAGAAAGATTTACGTGAGGAGTTTTAAAACTTCCCCAGAACAAATACTTAAAAAGCAATTCTGAAATAGTTAGGCATATGGGAATGCTCATCCCAATCTCAGGTGCATGGTGAGAAACACCTGAGAATACAGTCATTGTTTCTCAGTGAGAAATGTCTTTACATGTGTCCTTTTCATTTCCTGCTTTGTTCCCATTTTCAGCAGGAATGTCACAGAGATGTGCTATTCTACCCTGCTGAACTGAAAGTGATGTTCTGTGGCTGATGATTAATTAGCTCTCTGTATAAGAAAAGTGCCTTGAAGTCTACAGCAGTTGGCACTCTTGAACGCAAAAATTGTTTAATATTATCTTGTTTATTTTACCTACTTAGAATGTAAATTCCTCAAAGCAGAAGTGGATGGAATATATGTGCAATGATGTTTTGCAAATGAATAATCAGGTATATGACTGCCCTAAGGCACTCCATGAGTCTTCAGTAGGGTCAGAAGTTGATCTACATGCTTCATCTTCTCCAACCAACAAGCGTGAATTTTTTAGATGGAGAATTCTTTTAAAGTATCTGGTTTGCAGAAGTGTGATCACACTGTTCCACTTTATTATTTGTGGAGTTCTAGGGACTAAAGTGTAGTAGTTATGATGAAATATTATGGTTATAATTGTATGAAAGCATCAGGAAAGAACTACTGTGCTTCAGTTCCTTTGGGACTTATTTGTGTGCACTGGATGTTAATGAGAGCCTTCAGGCCTGCTTCATGCAAGCTCTTAAAGCAGTTGCTGCTGCTGTGTTATTTAAGAAATTTGGACTGGACTTCTGGTCCTTGAAGAAAGGCTAGAATGTGTAGCAGCTTAGGATAATTTTTGCAGAACTAAAAGATAGTTGGCTGACATTCAGAACAGTGGTCTTGGTTCTCTGTCCATTTTGTCCTGGTACATCATGCCAACTTGATGTTTCAGAGTTAGTGTTGCAACTCCAAAGTTGACAGTGATGTTAACTAATCTCGAGGAGCTTGGAATCCTGATGGAATGTATGTGTGTGAATTATTGCTAAATCTATGTCTGATGAGAAGCTTATTGAAAATGTTGAAAGGAAGAAGTAAAAGTAAACTGAAAACAAAGATGCATTTAAAAATGGCAGTTAGTCCAAAGAAACTTATTCCTGGAAGGAAAAAAGGATTGGAAACGGTATCTGGAAACAACTGTAGGGTCTTTATCACTTGTACGTTGTGACTGCAATTGGTACGCGACTTATTTCTCAGTGAATTTTATCAGTGCTTTAAATTGAAGCACAAAAATATAAATTGCCCTTTATTGTGAGGAGAAAACACTGGTTTAGAGGTCATCACAGAGCACAGAACAAACAAACAAAAAAGACAAACCCTCAAACTCCACAGCCCTAAAGTAGTTTAGACGTGACATCAGGAGTCTCTCTGGTTACTCACAGGCCACAGATTCTGGTGTATTCTCATGTGGCGAAGTTCTAGAGTGGGGAAGTGACTGTGGAGCAGGATTAAACTGTCTTGTGGCAGAAAAATACTTGGAACCTGCAGCTTGGAAAATGCATTTAATGAAGGCTAATTTTGGACTTCTGGCTTTGTTTTGTATAATATTTAGCAAAGAAAGGATATAAAGATCTTGTTTGTTAGAAGTGCAGAAT